AAAATAAATTTAATTATACTAACCCTACTATTATGTTGACATATGGTTGACTTTATCCTTAAAGTTTTGACCATAACAAACAAGTTACTTTTATTTCTAACAGTTGAACTTAAGTCTAATGAAGTAGACGTCTGGTTCGTCCGACACCTCTTTTTTTAACCATTCTGAATTCTGACGCACAACGACTACCTTGGTCATCAAGTTCAATATACGGACGTCCAGTTGCTCGAGGACTAGCAAACCCCTAAGTTCGCAGGCATTTGACGAGTGTGTTTTCACTAACGAATTNACGCACAACGACTACCTTGGGCATCGAGTGCAATATACGGACGGCCAGTTGCTCGATGACTTGCAAACCCCTAAGTTCGCAGGCATTTTACGAGTGTGTTTGCACTAACGAATTTTAACTTAATTTGTTGGCTAAATATTATGAGTATAGAACATTTTTAATGTGTTTATTAGTGTTTTTTTAAAAGTATGGGGAGGTGGACTAAAAAGGGTGCTAAAGTGAGCAAACAGCCAAAAGTAAAGGAAAAGAATCAACAAAATGGCGCCTAGGCGTCATGTTTGGAGCTCCAGAAACGAATTTTTTTTACAGCAAGCGAGCGCCTAGACGCTGGAATCCCTGAACCCAGGCGTTGTAAGGAACAACAAAGACATGATTGTGATCAGAGACACAGCGCTTAGGTACTGCACTCATGGTGCCTAGACGCTACACAGAATTGCATTGCGGAGCCTAGGCGTTGCTTTGCGCCGCCTGTTTCAGGCTTACAGCGTTTCGATCCATTTTAAAGCCCATAATCTTACACAAACGTGGGAAAGAGTATAAATAGAATAAATGAGGAACTTTATGAGTTCCAGACATTGAGAAAAAGATAAATACAACTAGAGATTGAATAACGTATTTAAAGGGAGAAAAAATCAAGAAATTCAAGTTTTGAAGCATAGATTGGAAACAGAAGAACATCTTGGTGCAAAATTAATTTCTTTTTCTACATCGCTATTCAAAACTTGGTGATTTATTCAATAACAACTTCTTATTTTTCTTCTTTCATCATTATGAGTTGCTAAATATTACATTATGGTGAATAATGTAATCTATTTGAACCCTTTTTTTTTATTTATTTAAGATTCTTGTTATTTTATCATACATGTATTGGTTTTGCTATGAGTTTAATGTGTTGAATTATTTGATCACTAATTTGATGATTTTGTGAATCTATTACGAATCGAGATGTGAGTTTTATATTTAGACCATCTAGTAAAATTCGGTATATTAATATAACGTGTAGAGATACCTATATTAAATATTGTGATCATCATATGAATTCTTAGAACTAATATTTCGTTTAAATAAGGTAGATTCACATAGAGACATGGAATTGAATTAGTTAAATAAACTCAATGAGAACTCTAGTAGGATAAATTGAAGACCATAGAAGAATTTGATCGAACACTACATTAGACTCTTGAATCTTGAATTAAGATTTAAAGGTGATCAATAGGTGAAATTGTTGAGCCCTAATATCCGTCCATTATTTGAATTTTCAATCAATCTTTGTGTTTATTTTAATTAATTTCAACTTTTTAAATAAAAAATGCACAACAACAAATAATTCATTTTTTGCTTTCATCAAATAGGTGTTAGAAAATTATGATTAAGTTCTAAAATATAGTTCTCGTGGGAACGATAATTCGGATTCAATGATCAATTGTATTACTTATTACGATATTGTATGCTTACAATAGAAAAAACGCAACAGTGATACAATTAAAATCCATAGGAATGATAGAAGATGTCTAGACACATTTCATACTTTTGGAAATGTTTAGACACATTTGCCTCCTTAGTAGGCAAGATACCAAGCTAAGACCTTAAAAAATTTAAGAAAAGCTTTTAAAGAGATTTTAGGGAGTTAAGCCANNAAAGAGATTTTAGGGAGTTAAGCCAATAGTCCAAGTGAAAGATAGATGTGTTGCCAATATAAAGGAAGTGTCCAAATGTGAGCATGGAAAACATTGATAGGATTGATAAATGTAAACTGGAGATTGAAGTTGAAGAAGATGACATCTCTGAGGTGGAGGTTGAATTTATTAAATTCAAGAAAGAAGAAAAACTTCATGAGGTTGGTGATAGAAAGATTATTAGAGATTGACTACTTAAATGATCTAGAAATCGCTTTAGATAATACTTGAGCAACCTAAAGCAAAAATTCCAGCGAATGACTATAAAGACGTGCGTAGTGAGAGGAAATTGATTTGCATTTTGAATTTGTAGTATGGTTATTTTCATTATTTGATTGAATTTATGTAGTGTATCATTGTCCTAAAAATAATTGATTCACGACTATTTTGTAGGATACCCATCAGGTGTTAGGGAACGCGGAAGCACTTTAAGTTTGGGGATTTCCGATATTGCACAAGTCAATTCTTGGAGGCATGCCACAAGAATGTGTCATCATATGAAATGGGACCACTATCGTCCTTCTGCTAGGAATTTACTTAACATGCACGGCGAAAAATAAATTGTTTTTCAATTCCCACAACGGATCTGTTTTGTGTTTAGATAGAAACTGTGTTTAGAATAATACATTTGATAAATTCTGCAAACTCCTTTGCTGATTCTCAACTCAAATGATCACGATCTGCAATCCAAGCCCTCCAATTGTCCAGCCTCCAATAGTGATCCACATGGAGAACGAGAATAACGACTATGATTTTCTTTTCTTGTGCTAGCAAGAATAATGAATTATTTCATTCAGTTTTCAAACCCTAGCAGCCTATTAATAAAAGTCTAAGCGGGCATGGCACGTCTCTTAAT